ATCGGACTCATCGGCTTCCACTGCTGCTGCCCTGATGCGGGGCACGTGTTTTCCGGTGCGTTAGCGGCAGCATCGTTTGCCGGTATGCTAATTCTTAACAGAATAGATTTAAAAATAGATCAACGTCTGTGAAACAAAAGCGGAAAGCCAAAAGAGGAAAAAAGTCGTTAGCTACGTAAGCCTGGGCTGAATGCACCGGCCAGATATCCTGTGCTCGGGCTGCGTCTGCCGGCGAGGCGGGAAGGGGGAGATGCGTGACTCAGGCTGCGCACAAAGCGGGAGCCGAACCAGAGGCTGCAGAGAGTGGAGGGGGTGGTCTCGCCGGCGTTTGGCATTCAGGGCTGCGCGGAGGATCATTGCCGCTCCGCTTGGTTGCTGTACGTGGGATGAAAAGGGCGCGCAGCCTTTGCATGGCGGCGCTGCCGCTGCCGAGTTGTGCTGATGCGGTTAAGGGAGCCAGGGATGGCACGCAGGAAAGCTGTTTAGTTCGTCGGTGTTTGTGTTTAATTTCAGCCTGAGGAAGACGAGCGTAACGATTATAATGCACACACACAAAGTGCCTATTACCGCGGTGCCAGACTCTCCTTTCTGTACGTTTTTCTTTGTCGAGTATAAAATCTCCATTTTCACTTTGTAATATCCCCTCCGTGCACACCGGCCGCACCAGAAGCAGGTTTGCACGCTGTGCACAGCCGGTACAACCGCTGGTTTCGGGGATCCCGGGTGCCTTTTATTGGGTTTGCGTTTGGGATGGATCCTGGAGTCGCCGAGCACGCCTTGCTGCTGGCAGCGCCTGTCCTCATGCCCGGGCTAAACTGTCCCCACCGGCAGGGCACAGCGCAGAGGTGGAACAGGAGAGCTCGGGGTCACCTTTTCGGGATGCTGCCGAGAGGCATCCGCCGGGATGGCTGCAGGAAGCGCCGGTTGGAGGGGGAGAGCTGATCGGAGGGGGATAGCCGGCGCGGTGGGTCAGCGTGCACGGCAGCCCAGCTACCAGCCTGCTGGGGTGCCGTGGGGCACGCGGCACGGTTTCGGCCCCGAAGGAGGATGGGGGCAGCGAGACGGCTGGTGGGGCCGCTGGGCTGGGGAGGCGCGGGCCGCGGTCCCTGGCGGGAGAC